TGGCTGCCCCATATAGTAAGTATCGGTAAATTAATCATTAATTTTATTATCACTTGTACACCAGCTGACTGTGCAGTAAATTTGTTACTTGACTGTTACAAATTATAATGTCTGCCAAAACCTGATTCTTGTAGTGTAGTGTAGTGTAGTGTAGTGTAGTGTAGTGTAGTGTAGTGTCGACAAATAAACATCTCAACCTGCTTGTCAAATCATAACCTTTACAGAAGATGGTCTACGAGAAAATCAATGAAATTAATATTTGAATGAATGAATGATGGAATTTTTGTAAAACTGCATTGTAATATTCAGTCAATTCACCTTCACTTTCTTCCTCCTTAATTTCATCATCATCATCATCATCGTCGTCGTTGTCTTCATCATCATCATCATCGTCGTCGTCATCATCATCATCTTTGTGGAGTGATTTTCTAGAGACAGTCCTACCAGCATATTTCTTATCATGGTCTGAGAGTAAGGCAGCTGTTCTCCTCCTCAATGAACTCACTTGGACTGGAACATTTATCTCATCATCACTAAACTCATCAATAACTTTGGCAGCAGTTTCTACAAATAACATTGAGGAGACAAAGAGAGAATTATCTAAACTTTATATCAAGGCTATTTATTGTTGAATACTACATTGAATTTCCAGAAAAAAAATCCAGATGTATCAGGACACATGGTCTAAAACCATTGAAACACCTTTGATCATGTTTACCAAAGGCCAAGACTAAAGCAGTCTTGTTTATTTTGATTGAGTCCTACCTCCCCACACCACCACCCCTAGCCCACATTCCCAGACACCCCAGTCCACAGGGGTGAGGGAACTTCAAGAAACTTAAGGGTTAGCTTGAAAACAGAAATGTTATTAAATCAGGTCTAGACCATAGGTCCACTAAGTCATCATCAGTCCAACCCACGTGTACACAGAGAACAGCTGAGACGAAAACATAATACCAGTTACATCTCAATCTACGCCCTTCATTGCTGCAATTTAAGTGTCAGACAACTACACAATATCACTTACCATTATCACCAAACTCTTCCGGATCATTAAACTCCGGCTGAGGATTGCTCAGTCGAGCTATTTCTTCGGCCAAACTTAGTTTCTTCGGCATTTTACGAAGCGTACATAAACCAAATACTTTGAAAGTTATTGCTTAATTTTCAGTCTCATCTTCGTCTCGTTAATATAAATTTAATAATAATGTAATCTCAAATATATATTAATATAGATTTGTTTGTTATTAGCCGAATCTGAAATATTAATTAGCTGTAGCCAATGATTCTTGCACCCGAGACGGAACGACTGGGTAGGCTTCGAATGCAGGTTTTCTTCTTAAACGAAAGTTAAGCAGTTACCATCAATAGATGGCGGTATAATTTCGGTGGTTTCGTTTTTTGCTGGTGAATGAATGAATCATTAAAAATTCGATCAATGATTGTCTGTAATGGCTGTACTCTTTATAAGATTCAAGTCTTGCATATCTTAAATTATCAAATAATAGTAAAATAAGAAATAATGAAAATTCTTCCTGGGCCAAGCTTCCCGTGAATGATATATAGTGTATTTTCGTAAGCTGTAATCAATTGTTTTTATTTTCGTAATACATGGAATGTAATTTAAATAAATAAAACACGTAACTTCGTAGACATGGGCAAGGTGTAAAATGTAATCAGCTATTTTATTCATCCGTAATTTGTACAAAGATATTAATTTTTGTAAGCGTATAAAACATTTTCCAAATTAAATGATGGGTAATTTCCAAACCTATTTTTTACTGTAAATGGAATTTTCATTTTATTTCTTGTAAAAATGTAAAATGCCGTTTTTATTTCCTGTAACCTGTACCAGCTATGCCCCCCCTATATACTGACTAGATGTTCTGTTTTTACTTCTGTGTTAATAAATTAACTTTTTTACACCACAAGAGGAATCGTTTTCACCATGAGTTAACAAAATAACATAACATAAATGTTTGTTATATGTGTTACTTAGTCCAAGCAGAGGTTTGTATGATAAATTTTGTCAGCTCAGTGTTGTTTTTGATGAATGTGCATATTGATTAATTTTCCAGAAGAATATTTGTTTTGTGAAAAATACCAATAAAAACAAAGAAAATTATCGATTTTGTTTTAATTTTTAAATTTCATGTATACAACTATGTCTTGAGTATGCATATAATATTAAACTCCATTACTTTTTGAATATACAGGTTGATTTACATTGGAAAATAGAACAAATTTTTTTTGCAAATTCTGTTGAAGGACCAGTGATTGCATTTTTTTAATTTATTTAATTTCATGGAAATAACTTATGCTCAGCATATCAGACATTAGCAAAGTAACATGGACTGTGTCATTGTGACAATGATTAGTTCTTAAATCATGAATATCGAATATAGCTAAATTTCCAAATTTATGCAAAACTTACCAAATTCTATATATCTAAATTGCAAGAATTACAGTACTGGTATTTATCTATGTGAATGTCCAGTAAGATAGTTGACATTAAAATATTTGTTGAGTTTGGTGAAACAAACCCTTGTAGCTTCCATGCTCCTCCATTGGAAATATACTTCCCAGTAAAGTTTTGCTATTTTTGAGGAAGCTGAAAGAATTCATCCACATGAAAAATAAGAACAGGCTTTTGATAACATTTCCATATACCATTTTTTGCTCTATTAGTAGCACAAGCATTTGTGGAAATGCAACAAATATGATTTTTGGTTTATATTGGCAATTCTATTGTAGATGCACCACTAATAGACCATAAATGGTCAAACAATTACGTTTATACAACTGCTTCCAGAGAAAATGTGGTACATGACAAAGTGTTTCGGTTGACCACATAAACAATACAACATAATACAAAATGTATGTGTTCATTTTTCATAATATTTTTATTAAAATAATTTAGGTACTGTACATAAACATATTACGAATACAGTAAGTCATACAACATGTAGGAAAATATTGCAGAAATTCAAAGTGAGGGTCAAGGGTCAAAAAAAGTGAAAGTAAAGCAAACATTCTATACATACGAGACTCTTAGATGGCTGTAGGGCTGAATATAGAAGAGGAGTGGTGTGGGGTGGGGTGGGGTGGGGGAAGAGCACTGAAAGTCTGAAGGTTTCTTTGGTAATAGTTTATCAATTAACAGTTCAATTATCGGTTCAATCAGACCTGAATTGATTGACATTAAACTTAACAAAAAAACAATTAATGAATGAATTATCAGACTTGCATCTTGTATTTAAAAACACTTGGATATCTACATTGAATGCACATGTGAATACTGGTACATCAAATATTGGTTACAAGAGGAAAATAATGATAATAAAAAACATTTTTTTAAAATATGATTCTAGATATTTTACTGAATACCATAGTATATTAGTCTTCAGAAGTTTGTGTTCAGTCACCCTGCTGACTTTTCATACGAATGCTGATATAAATCAACAGCCGTTGTGATGCATGCTTATTGATATGTGTACCATATGATAGATATATGTAACATTTGTAATACCACTTTAATTTGGCTGATATAAATTTTCAAGATTTTGGAATTTTGAATGAAAATTTTTCAATGGTGGATCATCCCTTCCATCCATCTACACTGACCATGCAACACATGTTGTGGAAAACATAGACAGAAAGATTTTACACTCCATTATGAAATGAAAAAACAAAGTTTTACAGCATTTTTTTATTTGTTTTTGTTTTCCCACAAATGAATATTTCAAAGTTTTGATTTTTACTGCCTCATGAAATTCACAAAATTGATAAAATTAAAGCGGTATTTTACACATTCTTTGTTTAACTAAAATCCTAATGTGTGATGTGTAATGACAGGGATGCATGTAACGAAAAGTGAGAAAGCATGTTACTTTGATCGAATAATATACCATGTGATGAAGAAAACAAAAAAAGCAAAAAGCATGAGATATAAAATGTATCTATTATGTCCAGATGCAGCCATTCTTTTTAGTCGTCCCATCGTTGATGATAATATACCATGTGATTTGTCAAAGTCGTCATCCTGCAAAATAATGATAACAAATACAACATTGTTCAGTAGTTGAATATCGTATGATTATGTTGTTAAAAAGTTACTTCCTGGGTAATTAAAATGCGATAATTATTAAAATGTCAACTGGTAAATGTCATTTCAGTGAATTTGACTCATGCATGAATGCATGTAACAGAACTTTAATTTAGCTGAGGTGTCAACTTCTGTAGAATACTTGGAATTTATTTTCGCTGAAGGGATGATTCAGTGAAAATAAAATCCAGCAAAGATACTTTTTTTCCTATATTTCACATTAAACTCATAAAAAAATCGGTGAAAATAAATTCCATACAAAACGCCCAAAAAGCCCTTTCAGCGAAAATTAATTCCAGCGAAAATAAAGTATTCTACAGTATCTCATTAGGACGATATACTTTATTTCAAATTACCAATACATTGAATTAGCAAAATTACGAATCAGCTAAAATAACATGTTTTATAGTAGTTTCAGTGAATAGAATTGGGACTTCCTTGATCTAACTCTAACATGAATGTTATTTCTGGGTTTGAATATAACCACATAAAGATGATCTAATCTTGCCAAAATATTGTTTTAGACATAACTGCATGGGCAAAGTGAGCCTACACAATTCTAACAAGTCGAGTTAGTTGTCATTTCCTTAAAATTGGTCTCATGTTGGGAATGGTAGAGAGGCTGTCAGGGAGACGGTCACCTTAAGATGGTGGCATAACTATGTGACATTTTGCCCAGGTCCCTCAGTATGTTATCATCTTGTACCATAATTCACAAGGTTCGCTTGACAAAACTGAATTCTAATAGAGGGCGCCCTCCAGCGCCAACCTTATTAATGTACAACATCATCTTTGCAATGTTTTCAATGTCCACATTTTGGCGATGGCAAATAACAACACAGGGAATGATTCACTTTTACAGAATCAAAAAATGATAGATAGCTACAAATTCAGTCAACAAGTACATTGCAAAATGTTATATTACTGTATGGGATAAGTAATTAACATAATTAAATGACAATCAGGTGCTAAAAGATAGTAAATGCTAAAAAAATGTGTTTTTCTGATCACTATAAATCATTTATTTTACACTGAAGACAATTCACCTTTCCATGATCAAACATTAGATCACCATTGCTAGATTGACAATATGCAGTGGCTTTTACACTGTTTTCTGTTGTATATAAATTTGCACTTTTTTTGACTTGCCAAATGTTTTTTGACTATCTCACAGTACATTTAATCATTTTTTACCTTCATGATGTAATTAAGGACGCACATATTAAGTATTCAAAGTACATTTTTTGACTGAATTTTCACTAAAGGCTGATAAGAACATATTGCTTTTCAGAGTTTTGTGGTGTTTACTGAAGAATACTTTATTTTCACTTGGAATTTATTTTCGCTGAAAGAATGATTCAGTGAAAATAAAATCCGGTCAAATATTCCTTTTTCCCTATATTTTACATTAAACTTGTCAAAAATCAGTGAAAATAAATAAAATCATACAAAACACCCAAAAAGTCATTTCAGCGAAAAAGTAATTCCAGCAAAAAAAAAGTATTTTACAGTATTTTGAAAGCCTGCTATTGCTCCAGCAAGAGATTTGATTATACAGGGTGTGATGCAACATGGTCTGAAAAATGAGTTATAATCCTTCTAAATAGGGAGAGTGTTCTTTATAAAATAGATAAACCTCCTTTTGTTTTAACAAGTGGAGATAAACCTCCTATTGTTCTAACAAGAGAAAATTAACCTATTGTTCTAGCAATGGGAA